GAAGTATTTTTTGATTTAATATGAGAATTAAGGGCCCGCTGTAAACAAATCGTATATTTTTCTCTAGTTTGAGAGATATTTTAGATGAAGCCGACCATATACTTTAGATCCATTATATCAAAAACGTCTTATGATCGGTTTAATTTGTGCCATAGGCGCAAGTTTTGATTTCCTCGGATCAACAGTAAAATCGGGCGTAATAGACGCTAACTTGTGCCAAACATAACCTTTTATGAACTCTTGTCAGCGTTACGTGGGAAATGCAGGGTCAACCTATTTGGCACAAGTACATTTGTTTTATGCAGCAAGTATAGTAGCTAGTTGTATTTCTTTCATTAATCTATCCTTACCAAAAGAATACCTAGAAAATAATTATCCTTGCTCATCAATAGTTTATTTGTTTGGAATAATGATATTGCATAAAAGAGTCACAAAACTCGCAAAGGCCTGAACTAAGCCTGGGTAGAGTGGCATACCTCTCAAGGCGTCAAAGCCACTTTTAAGTATTCCCTTTGTTAGTCACATTCTCTAGTGGGTAAACACGTGTACATGGTGACATCCACACATTCTAGCCCCACCTCAGAGATCCATCCAATGGATGGTCTGAGATCGTCTTTAGCCTACGGACAATCTTAACACGCCAATAGTTAGTAGACGCACAGCGTTAACCACTACATCACCGGGCTTGATATCATGTTTATTATATTAAATATTGCTTACTAAGAGCCGTATCGTCAGTCGTTCCTACAATTGTAGGACGCCTTTATGGCCTCCTTTATTTTCATAGTTTTCTACTGTTCCATGTCAGCGCTCTATTTTGAGGGTATGTTACAAATATATATTCACAACAAATTGTTCATGCTTTTGATTTATATCATCTGTTATATCAACCTAAAATTTCCTACAATTCAAAAAGAAAACGTAGCCTCACAATAGGAGACCGCTGACGCTGACATGGAGTAGTAGAAATCTAGAAATATCTCTCCCAGCCTGTCTGAAGAAGCGAAAATACTATGGAAATCAAGGAAACCAGAAAGGTGTCCTACAATAAATTGTGGGAACGACTGACGATGTGGCCCTAAGAAATCGTACTTAGGGAAGTTTCAACTGTGCACTGAGCGAAGCATATTTATATGTTCCGACAGTCAAGCAGCCCTGAAGGCAGTAGCATGTCCGAGGACAAGTGTACCTGTAGTTCAAGAATGCGCTACTGATCTTCAGAGTTCAGCCCGATCCAAAGAAGCAGGCTAAGAGATTCATTGTGGGTCTCGACAGACATACGCGCCGGCTACTGGGCGGATCTCGCACCAACTTTTGGTGGGGTTTCTCATCCGCCACTGTAGACTAACAGTCACTTGTCCCTTCTAAGGACAAAAAGATATTTCATCTGCCATATGGGCTGGAAGTAAAACAAGAGGCGTTCCACTTTCGGACATCCTGATCTTCATTAAGAGACCAAGAACATTCGATAAATTAATGGATAAGCATGAGGGGCAGATTGTTGGTAGAGTGGGGGTCAGCAAAAAGCTTCGCCTCCCCACCACCACTACTAATAAGAGAACGCTAGAAAATTATCATTTGCGGTCTAAAAAAGCTGCAGAACTTCCAAAAGTCTCGGTAACTACCCATTAATACATTCAGACAAGCTTTACAGTATTCCCTTTGTTAGGTGTTCAGAAAGCATTAAGTTACTAATCGTCGCCGTCCCTGGTGACCGCAAAAGGCACAAAAAGCCCCCCAAGCTAGTCACAGCAGCAGAAACCGATGAAGTTGTGTTCAATTCGTAATGCCTCAAAGGAGTCCAGCATGCAAAAAGCCGCTTTGAAGTTCTACCAACCAGCCAGGCGGTCGACGCTGCCGGTGCCTAAGTAATCCCTTTAACATAGACGTAACGTGCTGGATGTTTAAACGAGTTTATTTTACCTCAATACATTTACCGAAATCGAAGGAAAAGAAAATATGACACACCAAAGCATGAAGCTACCATAGCTAGGCTATTGTTGGTGTTGTTACATTAATATTAACAGCTTCCTTTGCTACTTCATAAATTCAATCTACAGCTTATCGAATGACAGCACTTTACATCCGGGGATTTAGAATGCCAGGTTGGCCTCCTTACTGGCATCACCAGTTCAGCCGAGAAATAGAAGACTTTTTCCTAACGAAGAATCTGGAATCCATGGCTGCCTGGAGACGCAGTAATATTGTATAGCTTCATGTTTCTGGGATATAAGGAGCTTAACCAAGAAGAAGCACATAAATATGGTACTTTGATGGATGCACGGTGCGCTAGACTCTCATGATGTCTCCATTTTGACGAAGTCAACTTAGTGTCAGCAACGATACACTTTACCATTTTCAATATACGGTGCTGGTTGAGACATCTTTCTCTATTATCAAACATTTATACAGGGTGTTTCAAATTCGACCTTCACCATTAGGATATCAAGGAAACTGCAAGAGATACGAAGTCGTTTAAACGAGAGCAAAGTTGCGTATTTCGGTAATACATTAAAATGCCGCTTAGAAAGTTTCGAACCTCAAAGTACTTCAGGAGAGAAACGCAAAAAAACAAATTTTCCCAAAATAGTTTTAATTTTTTCCTGACACTACTTGTATAGGGTTTCAAACCAAATCCCATAATAACATGGCCACTTTTTCTTCTCTACAAGATGGATAATTAGAATTTCAATTTGACGTTTCGTTCTTGTCCTCCAGCGACAACATTATTTTTTCTTATGGACGCCATTTTGAATTTTCGCACAGATTAACACATTGATATTGCCAAACCATAATTTTTTCAAAAAAGTAGAATTTCCTAGGTAGGCCTTGAAATTATTAGATGGTCATTTGTTTGGCATATCTGATATATTCCAACATCAGTTTTATTTTTTCTTGGATTTATTTAAGGTGGGATTCCATAAAACTGCATGTTGACATTGCGACTTTTTCTCCTCTACATGATGGCATACTTAGAATTTCATTATGATGTTTCGTCTCTTGTCCTCCAGCATCAAGTTTATTTTTTCTTATAGACGCCATATTGATTTTTTGCGCAAATCGATAGAGTTTTTAATTTTGATTTCAAAAATGTAGAAAAGGTCATAATTGACATTGCTAAACCGTAGTTATTCAAAAAAAAAACAGAAATTCGTAGGTAGGCCTTGAAAATATCAGATTTCATGTGTTTCGTATACCAGACCAGCTCAAAGTAAGCATAGTAGCAAAGTTTGGAAGACTGAGAAGAAGGAAAATAAGCCGAGCAGTGGACAATGTACAGAGAAGAGTCAGGCTTTGCCTACAAACGGAAACGGAAAACATTTTGAATATCAGCTATGATCTACCTTTGCTTCTTTATGGTTATTATTGTTCAGGTTTTACCATACCTTTTTATTTCTTTATAATTTTCATCCAACAACAAATTCATGGCCAAGTAAGGAAATCCATCACTGAATTCCAAGGCCTACCTAGGAAATTATTATGTTTTTCAAATAACTAAGGTTTGGCAATGTCAATGTGTGAAGTATTATACATTTTTGGAATCAGAATTAAAAACTTTGTGCAAAAATCCAGTCCGTAAGACAAAATAAAGTTGATGCAGGAGGACAAGAGACGAAACGTCATATTGAAATCCTAATTATGCAATCGTGTATAGAAGAAAAAGTAGCAATGTTTACCTATGTGCAATTTATTTTTTCGGTCTCTGTCCTTGAATGTCGAAGCTTTCTAAGCGGCTATTTGTTAATTACCTAGATACGTAACTTTGCCCCCATTTAAACAACTTTGTATCTCTTACCGTCTCCTTTAATCCAATGGTGAGGGTCGAATTTGTAATACCCCGTATAAACTGAATTTGATTTATAGAGAATGTTCCGTTCAAATCAGACGTTAAGAACTTGCACAACTTTGTTACTTTAACATTTTTATGCAAGGGCAATTAATAAATATCAAGTTTAAATATTAACAATATACCTTTGTAATTTTCTCTTTCACGTTGGATTCGAAAAATTGTTCGGAAGTACTACCGTTTAATAATCCAAAGTGGAACTGTAGATGAAATATTGTGAGATGCTATGACGCTTCAGTAGACCACAATTTTCCAGGCGCAAAATAAGTACAGATATTCCTAAGCAAGATGGACCTAGGAGAAGAATCATAATCGTCTCCGACAGACCAATAACTATCAAGAGACTAAGCCCCGTATCATCAGTCGTTCCTACAATTGTAGGGCGCATTTATGGCCTCCTTGATTTTGAAATATTACGTCTTCTTTGTTAACGTACATATATGTCCTGCTTTAGATTTCCGGCATACTGACAGTTCTGGCTTGAGGTTATGTTGTTGTTTTGACGTTCAAGAAATTTTAGACACATGAATGGAAAGCAGAACCATAATTTGTTTTGACGTTCAAGACATGAATGGAAAGAACCATAATTTATTATTTTCTTGCAAATAATGTCGATCACTCAAAAATACTTCGCTACATTGAACAAATTCCACAACCTGTGGTATCTTCAAGAAATTGTTGGGTTAGGAAAATTAATGCACATGGATATATTATATTATATTATAATATTATATTTATATGTATAAAACTCCAGAAGCTTACAACCAAGCTGTTCTCTTGATGAAGGTTGGTAAGTTACTAAATTAATCATTGTATATTCATATTTATATACTTAACGCATTATTTTCAGGTGTGATTCATTATCACAGACTTTATGAGAAGTTAGTTCCTCAGTAAAATGCTATTTTTACTTTGGAATGACAAGGAGGTGAATGATCTTTCTAAGAAGGAATTTTTGCATCCAGGCATAATTGAAGGAATCTTACAGAAACAAAACGTGAATTTGATTTTTGTGACCGATGCAATGTCAATTAAAGCTGGGCATAAACCTGTATGATCATAGTCATAATCATAAGAATTAACAGTTACAAACTTGAAGACAAGTTGTGCTAAGCAAGTATGTATAATGTGTAAAGGTTCTGAAATTCCATGGTAAATTGACAATCATTATTTCAGGATACTAAAAAGAGCATGGGCATGACATACCTATTACAAGGAGTAAATGGGATAAAGTTGCAGCATGAAGTTAAATTCTTAATGACTTTGTACTATCATGGCATAAATCTCCACAACTAATTACAAGGAAACTGTGGGAATCAATTTCCTGCTTAAGGAATGTCAAACACTGAATAGGACTGATATTTGAGGTGCTCGCCTTGTTTTACAATATAGCCTTGTGGGCATTATATGTATATATATATATATATACTTATATATATATATGGTATAAGCAGAAAAAGTTTGTTTTTATTAGAAAGCTGTCATGAAAATGTATCATCAAAACTTCAAACTGTCAATTTCAAATATTTGAATGTTCCGTGTGTATAAATTGTGGTTTTTAGTTCCTGTTGATAATGCAGACTACCAAAGAAAAATATTCGTCAAAAACAAAAACTTCAGCTGCTGACCATGATACACAATACAGCAATGTAGTTGGAAATAAGAAAAATGTTGCAGTGAGCCTCAGGGTAAAAACAAAGCCAGGATCGAATAGCCGAGAACTTCAATTTTCAACATTTTCTAAAGAACTTTGTACGGTTAATGGCGATAATGAAAAATTCTTAATTTTTGGAAATAATCTAACCTGTTTACCATCATTCAAAAATATATAATCAACTTTAAATTCAGTTTGATTTGAAGTTCATCCCTGCTATGCCTTAATAATAGACAAAAATATGACCATATAGTTAAAAACAATAAAACCAATCTGGTGACCTATCAATAGAAAAAACTAGGCCCAACTTTACACTGATAAGAAGTTTAATTTCCAGTAGCAGCACTGATGTAAAAAGCAGAATTTGGTATATGTGAAAAAAAGGAACTGTGATTAAATAATCTGTTGCAATATACCTTTTCACAGCAAAAACAAAACCTTATCCTGTTTATTTTAGCAAATGAAAGTAAGATAATATAGTTGGCTGCTTACAAGCAGAGGGTGTCTGACAGATTTCAATAAGGACCCAGCATTTTACTTTCTTGACAGTGTTGCACAACATATTAAAGTGGTGCTTGACGATCCCTGTGATAGTACTTTTCTTACTTATAGAATTTAAATAGTGTAGACTGTCAACCTTCGGATAAATGGGCATCAGATTCTTTGAAGAGCAAAATCCATTTTCATATGAAATAAGCTAGGGGACAGCCTAGGTACGTCCATTTGCATGTTTTATCAAAAAATAACTGTTAAAAAATAAGAGGACAGTGTGCACCAAAGTTAGTTAAAACTTTACGGTTATTCAGATATAAATACGTTTTCAGAGGCTGCTGGAACTCGTACAACTCAAAAAACAATGTTTCTTATTTATTAGATCGTGTTGTAAATAAACTATGTTATACGCCAAAGCTAGTAAGGAAAATAAATAATTCGTTTCCCAATTATTTTCTAATTATAAAAGGAAATAAACTGTGCCAAACACTAAAAAAAACAAGAATAATAACTTTTATTCAAACTGCTTTGCTACATATCAAGGGATATGGTTGCGGAAAGTAATTTGGAATTTTGTTTTCAATGCTGCTGAATGTTTTTGCCAGGTTAAGCCATTATCAAGGGAGACCCTGAGGTACATGACAGAATTTTTTCATGGTATACGAGGTAGACGGTAGGTCTACCGAAACCTCGAGTGGGGGCTGCGACGTTTTCTGCTACAATACCTATATTTTCAAATGATTACTTTTAATCAAATCAGCCATCGTTCTGCCCACTCTAGTACTTCCTCCTTTGCACCTTGTAATCTGACGTGAACCAGATTACCAGTACTTGACTGGCGCAGTGTCGTCAGCATAGAGGTACACTTCACAGTTGTTGAGTGAAAAACGAGTGAGGGATTGGTCCTAGGACCGAACCTTGAGAAAACGTTAAATTTGTCTGAAACTTCCCTCGAGGCAGGATGTATGTAGTTTTAGAAGCGAAAATGAGAAACAATTCAGGCACTTGGAAGCACCCAAGCACCGCTGAAAAAGCCAATCTTGTAGTAACCACAGCGTGTTGAAACTCATGAGTTTGCCTTTTGTGTTAGACATTGTTACAGTAGAATTTGTTAGTTTAAGGAATGCATAAGCCTGTATGTATAATCATAAGAGTTATAAAGTTATGGAGTTCAAGATGAACTTCTTTATGCCTAGGCAATTTGTTCTCGAATGGTTAATGTTGCATGTTAGATAGCTGAAATGTCGTCCGGAACTCGATAAAGTGCATTCTTGAATATTGTAATCGAAATTTTTATTCGACGATTCTCACAAAGCTAAAGCCATGTGTTTGAGATTTCTTACCTATTCAACTGAATGGCATATATGATAAAGTTGGACTATTGCTAGAAAATCATTACTTTTTTCTTCGTTATTGACCACCTTTGGACAACAATTGTCCTGAGTAATTAAATACTTGACACAGTGGAAGCACAGTAGCAAATGATGACAATGACAAAAATAAAATTCCAGTGGTGTAACTAAAAGACTATATGAAATACATATTACAACACTTATGGTTATAACGGTGCTAAGGAGTAAAATGTAAGAAATCACCCTTTTAATGGTATTTTTTCAGATCTACTTGGATTGCTCAAACATACATCCCATCCTGAGAAGCCGAGAGTACAAGATACTGTTGCAGGACAGAATAATTCTACTGTAAGTTTTTATTTTTATGAAAACCGTACATCAGATTGAAAAAAATTCAAGTGATTAAATTTGCTTAGATGTGATTAAAAATTTTAATAAAAGAGACATCAGTGACATACACTTACTGCCTGTCAAAACAAGCAGGTGAAATTCCTTAATAGCATCACTGGTGGAAATTAAAGAAATGCCTCGTGACTCATGTACAATTAGGAAACACACTGAATTGCAGCTCCTAGTATTACAAGAGATAAATGCACATTTTTTAGCCATTTTTTTTATTGTTTCTATCATAACTGACAAAATCTGCTTTTCAACAAACCAGTTTAATTCTTGATATTTCTGTTTCAATCCAAAAATGATTTCCTTTCACATGCCATACTTTTGATAGATTTTCCCTTTTAAGTTAGGGTTCCAAATCAATTAAAAACTTTTAGATTTGAGATTTGAATTTCTTAATAAAATGACTGAAAAATTTAAGATTCCTTACTTTTTTTCCTTATACAATATGCTACAACACTAATATATGGTGCAACACATTTAAAAAGTACAACATACTGTTCTTTGAGGCTCAGTGCATCAATCTTATTATTGCCGCTAATGTATTCTTTTGGTATCCTCAGTAGCTGGAGTCTCAATTATAAATAGTAATTTAAAATCAAATTCTGTATCTCAAAACCAGGTAAGACCTACCTGTAATAATCAGCAAATTTACTTAACTTTATAAATTAAGTCGCATATGATACACGACAAGACAAAATATCTGAAACGCAATTACCTTATCTCACTTATTGGGGCTTAACCTAGCCTGACTTTAAGGTACACTTTTCAAAATAATGGGTCTTTTCTGCTTATCTAGACCTTTGAAGCGTTTGAAATTTGTTTAACAGGAAAGTGATTCCCTGGCTAAGTCAAAAATTTCTTGTATTTTTCTATTTGTAATTAATTGGGGAATTTAATGTCATGAAGTTTTTCTGATTTAAATTCATGCTACAACTGTATTTACTCCCTGTAATACTTCATATTTGATAATCCTACATGGATATGGTATTTCGAGCATCCTGAAATAACAATGATAAATGGTAATTACGATCTTCACATACACATATTGTAATGATTTGTGAACAGGCATCTTGACATCAACAATGCAATTGTATTTGTGATATGTTTGTTATCCATGAAGAAACCAACTTCTTGTAAAGACTGTTTGAATGAATCACACCTGAAAATAATGCGATAAGTATATAACATGAATATGCAATGATTTGTTTGGTAATTCATTAACCTTCATCAAGCTTGGTTGAAAGCTTCTGGACTTTTATACACACAAATATAATATTATAATATAATATATCCATGTGCATTAATTTTCCTAACCCATCAATTTCTTGAAGATATTACAGGTTGTGGAATTTGTTCAATGTAGCGAAGTATTATTGAGTGATCGACATAATTTACAAGAAAATAATAAATTATGGTTCTGCTTTCCACTCACGTGTCTAAAATTTCTTAAGCTTCAAAACAACAACATAACCTGTAGCCAGAACTGGCAGCATGTCGGAAATCTAAAGCAGGACATACATGTACAATACCGAAGAAGACAATATTATCGAAATGAAGGAGGCCATAAACGCGCTCTACAATTGTAGGAACGAATGACGATACGGGCCTAGGAGCCGTATCGTCAGTTCAATTGTAACAGTAGAAGTCTAGAAATACCTCAGGCTTCCTGAAAGAGAGAAAATACAATGAAAATCAAGAAGGATATAAAGGCGTCCTAGAATTGTAGATATAACTAACGATACGGCACTAAGGGCCCCGTTCTTACTTATTTGGGTACCGAAATACGCTGGTGGATGCACTCACGGGAGCAGGATCAGAGGGCACCCTTGTCGATCCTGGCCACACAAAAGATTAGGAGAGCAAAAGATCCCTGGATGCCGAGACAACACTGAGTTGACAGAGGAGTCATCGGCCTATATTTTGGGTAGTTGCGAGGCTCTCGTAAATTACGCTGAGATCCGAAACCTTGAATTCCCAGGAAATTAAGGATATGGAACATAAGACTTTGCTGAGACGGTGGGTCATAATCATTCTAGTTCTGCGACGTTGATTCACAGAAAACATATGAAAAAATATTATACGTGCAAATAAAAGTTTTCCGCCCTAAGTTGCTAGAAAATGAAGACGTGCTATTTCTATGGTTGCTAGATTTACTTGTATGAATCGCTACTGACTTTTATAAATGAGAAAGTGTGGATGTGTCTTACTCAATCACGCCAAAATGGCTGAATGCATCTGGATGAAATTTGGTACAGAAATAAATGTTAGTCTGGAATAGCACATAGACTACTTTTTATCCCGGGAAATAACTTTGACATATCTATTTTACGTGCTACAGCTCAAACAGCATAATGGAAACTGTTATTAGGTGTCTGGCGTGGAAGTGCTCAGACGCTGCGCTGGCTCGACCGAAATGCGTAAGGGTATATGTTTACTACATTTCGATATTCGTTCTCTTAGCGTAACTATCTCGATTTAGATTTGTATGATGTTTTATTTTACTTCAAAGATAACTTCACAGTTATTACAAGGGCGGATTTAGGATTACGTTTAGGGAGGAGGGGTGCGCAAACGATACTTGGGGCTGGTAATTTTTAAAAATCCATTGTGTAAATATAGTAACATAAATAGACACATATGCGGGAAGAAATGCGGGACGTGTGGTATTGACTTTGAGCATCGATTGACGCATTT